ACTTGCCACCCCACCCAGCACCATATTTCAGGTTAGTTGTTTTTTCCATCAGTTTTCTCCTGCCACAGTTCCATTGGGGACACCTTTTAGGAGCACAGCCATCTGGTTGTAATGCCGCAGTCTAAAGGGAGAATAAACATGTGCTGCTGCTGAGTTCTGCTGATGTGAAATCCTTCGTATGAGATGTTAAACCGAGGTCCCGACTCTCTGTGGTCATTAAAGATCCCATGGCACTTGTCGCAAAGAGTAGGGGGTTCCCTGGTGTCATGGCAAAATTCCCAACCTGACCTTCACCATCTGGCCATCTAATCATTCCCCGTAGTTTTGGTCAATGTTTCCCTCCCTCTCTGCCTCAACCTGATGTGTGGTGAGCGTTCTGGCTCTAAATGGCTGCCGTGCATCACCCAGGTGTGTGCTACACATTGGTGGTGGTTGAGGTGAGCCCCCCCATGATAAAGCGCTATATAAATGTAATGCATTATTATTATTATTATTATTATTATAAAACTGATGTCACTCCTGGAAGTATAATTACCAGAAAGACTGTTTCGTGAATCTGGATCTGTTTTAGTGAAAGATGGGTTCTCGCATGCTAGGTATATAATAACTATTGACTTTTCATATAGCTGGGATACAGTCTGCGCTGAGACAGATCTGACCTCCTGCTTTGCGCACATCACAATTAGTTTTCCATAAACTATAAAACATACTGTGACTTTTTTCTTACAACATTTCTCCCTTTGATCATTAAAAGTGATACGCCTACAAAAGTTGACTGTTCTTTTCCCAAACAATAGCAATTTGCGCTAATGTTGGTGACAAATGGATTGCATTTCTCATGGCTCTTTTGCCACAAAGGCCACTCGATGTTTTCTCAATGGAATTATTTTATATAAAGGAGCAGAAACAGAAATCCTTCCGTTTGCATTAGCAGTTCTATTATGTTTGTAAAACATGTATGGAGAGAGGGAGAGAGAGAGTGACCCTTGGAAACACACCCGTCATCTAACTACAGGCTATAAGCTATACAAGCTATAAGCCATTCAATGTATGAGTCGACAGTAGCTGAAATAATGGCATATTTGTTGCCACTGCTGCAGCAGGATTGGGTCTTTGTGTGAAGTGATTGGCCAGTTTCTCTCTGTGACCAGAAGGATATTAAACTGAACCGAAAGGTCACACAAACAAAAACATGTCAACACTCCACAAAAACAGTCTCAGCAGGCAGCATTGAGTAGAGAATTAATTAGCCTACCTGTAAACTAGTCGTAACTCAGTGCACAACAACGTATTTTTCAGTGAGCTTTAAAATACTAAAACTGTAGCACTAGTTTTCAGTCCAGGACATATGAAGAATAAACAGGAGCTTTGGATGAATGGATCCCTGGTGTTTACATATAGTTAAGTCTGATTTGTTGGGTAATTTTCATTTGTCAGTCCTACTCTGACACAACATAGAAAGAACCCAGTTAAGCCAGCCCCCCAATTGGTTCCTAGTTAGATAGATTACTTTTAAATTGAGTATGTCATTTTACTGTAGGCTATAGGCCTTTTTGAGAAAACTAAATAAATGTAAATGATTATTTTTTAACTGTGATCATGTTTGATGACAATCACAATGTATTTCTTTTGGGAATGCCCTTGACTGTTAAAGTTAAAAATATAGAACTTGATGTCATTCTACTGTACAGATTTGGAGAAAATAAAGGAAAAGTCACATCCATAGTCAAAATACATTGTAGCACATAGAATATGCCTTATCTGAAGTCTCATAAATACTTTTGGTTTGCTGAATCTAACATGAGGATCATGATGCAACTTTTCATCAATTTATGCCTGAATTCTGCCCAATTATTGCATTGAACTTAGAAATGAAATAGAGATGTTAATGAATAACGAAACGAAAGGAAAAAACAAAAAACCCAGGAGGTGTGGTCCAGTTAATGTCTTCTGGCTAGTGATGCTAAAATCTGAAAGTAACAACAGGAACAGAGGAGACTAATAATATTATACATGTAAAAAAAGTTATAATAGTAAATAAATGAATTGGCACTATTGTACATGGAAATAGTCTGGCTCTGCCACTGACTTTGGCTCCCAGTAGATAACCAAATATTTTTCTGCCCTAACCTCATACATAAATCCTCAATTGCCTTGCTAGCTAAAGTGTTAGCTTCACAAATAAATTGTTCCTTATAAATATCTGGATGAACTATATTGTAGCAGAAATGACAAACAATGTAACAAGCAGAGCACCTAGAGAATCTAACTACACATCTTTATCCTGAATTACCACAAAGCCAGACATCACAGGAAAATACAACCTACAGTCACACCCAAGATCAGTAGCACTTTGGTAAAATGTGCCAAATAAGGCGATTTATTAAACACACAGGATTTAAAAACCTAAAATAATCCCTCACAACAGTATAAGGAGAGGAAGCAGTGCATTCAAGCTGAGATCAAAGCATGAACAACAATGCAGTATATAGCTTATTGTTGCTTGTGATCCACAGCTCCTCAGCCAAAGCACCTGTGTGTACATTTCCCAGAAAAACAGCCTCCAGTGGTGATCATTACCTCTCCTTTTGGAGTAGCGGGGTGGATCGTTAGCCAGCTTCAAGGAAACATCATGCTGTTAGCTCTCTGTATCTGGGGTCATACTGCTGTTTGCTTTTGTTCTTTTCTAAGTCTAATGTGCTCTCACCCAGACATTGATCAACTTCCAGCTGTCAGTTAGCTATTTTTTTTTCCTTTGTTGTCTTATAACTTTGTTTAGATGGCAGAGCTGAAAATCACAACCATGTTACTGTACTCTGCGGGTTGAGCACACATTTGGAACAGGGCTGCAGCTTTATTTTACTGAAAAACCCTGCTTTTTGTACAGCTGCATGTTAGCCCTGATCAGCTCTGCCCAGAGGAATAGTGGGTAATGTATGGAGGTGATGGTTCTTATTAAAAATTAACATAATTACAGTAAGGGAGAAAGCCTTTGTGGCCCTGCTCTGGTGAGCTTTGATCCCTCGTGGTTAAACATGCAGCATTAAATGATAACCTTTAACAGGGAACTTCTCTACCTGTCTGTGGAGTGAACTGTGCAATATACAGTCCACACAAGGTTAATGCGTTAATCCAAGATGTTGCTGAATGTATGTTAGAATTATTCTGTTGCTTCGTCATAGTGCACCGTGTGTGATATTTTATTTCAAACGTCAGTTTAGACATACTTAAAAACCTAAACCTGGTGTGCATCAGTATCTTTAAATTTGACCACTTTTAGTCCAGAGTTTTTTTGAGTTTGATTGAAAATTTTGTGAATTATTGTGTTATAGATTTGGACTTTGATCATTAGATTAGTATTGGTACCTGTACAAAATAACAGCTAATAATCCTTAATGTGATTGCTAGTTATTTTTTGCAGTAAAATTTGTATAATAGATGGACAATGGATAAATGTGGTGTTGTGTCCTTTCTACGTAGCAAACGAGTTAGCTCAGCGAGTATGCTGTCATATAGTGAATGTGAAGAGGCTCTGCTGTAACTGCAGTATCAGATCCAGTGAGCACCTGATAATAAGTGAGATCCACCTGAGGAAATCTATTCTCATTACTTTATATGGCATGGTGGACGTACCACATACATTATTCATGCTTTCTGCAATATCTTATTGACCTCTGTCAAGGACATTTGGACTGGTATTCATCTTGACAGAAGAGGCCAATCACAGCCTCCAAATTGGACATATGCAAAATGCAGAGGTGCCGTACAAAGTTGAATAATGTGACTTTTCTGCACACGCCTGTGAAAATGAAATGCATGCACAGAGGGGCCTAATGGTACCTGCCTGCCACTAATACAGCTGGAGTCTCATAGTCTGAACAATGCTTTGACCTTTGACCTTCTCACATTTGAATGCCACGGTGCAGGCATTTGTTGTCTATCTTCTTGTGTGTTCGTTTGAATGAATCCAACTATTATAAAACATAGCCATACATCTATGGTGACTGTCATATATCCTGGGTGTTTTGTATGAGCAGTCACATTATATTTATCTTTTTTATTGAAATTATAATAATTATATTCTTACTGTATAATGGATATTGTGAAGAATGTTGCTAATTAGGTTGAGAGTCAATGAAGTTCATCCAAAAGACTCTAATTGAAGGTTTTCTGTAACGTGATTCTTTCCTGGTATTTCCCAGCATAAACAGAGTTTGATTTTAAACAGTACTGCAGATAATTAAACACCAAACCAGATCAATGTGGAGTGGCAGAAAAGGAAAATCTGTCTAATAGATCATTCTTCCTACTTAATAGTTAAGTATTGTATTAACAGTAGGCTGTCATTTTAGCATGACAAATAATTGGAACAAACCACTGTAGCAGTAAAAACTATAAAAAGTTAAACCAGTTGTAAAGGCATTTCAAGGTCGGGCTATAACTATAAAATTTGTGTTGTTGTAGCGTTAATGAGGTTTGGAGAAGGTGCCTTTGTTTCAGTCCATATAATAGTCTTCAGTATGTAAACACAGCTGCACACAGACGTAAAAGCACACACATCAAACATTCTGATCTAAATTCCTTGTATTAAACCGTACACAACTTGGCTTGACTCAATATTATTATTGTTGCTGTTGGTGAAGAGGCATATTGCCTTCCGTTGTAAACCACTGTGTCACTGCTACAGTAACATTTATGATGCTGAAGATTACTGAATCCATCTTGTTGTTTTATTAGTGTCACTGTTTCCATTATTTGTGTAATTTCTTGAGATAATGGTGTGGAAAGTGCATCTTTTATTGTTTACCTCTTTAAGTGGTATGTAAAGGAATGCAAATCAATTGTTTGGTTATGAACAGATTTGAACCAACTTTGTTTACTACAAATGAAATACCACTTCAATCGATAAAAGAACAAATACAGCTTTGCGATATATCCCTAGTGGATGGGCTGGTGTTATAGTTGTTGCTGATTATGTTGTTTGCTAATTGTTTTTCAAGGCGTCTGGATGGCGTGGTGTTTGACTGCGGCTGTGATATCCGCTGGATCCAGCTGTGGCAGCAGAGAGGAGAGGCCGTGCTCCACACACAGCAGCTGTACTGCAGGAACGGAGCCTCCAAGATACCACTGCACAACATGTACATCCACAACTGTGGTAAGAGGAGGGGAGGAGAGGAGGGAGGTTGTGCTCTGCATTTTAAAAAGAGGAAAAGAAACAGGGAGCAGCAGAGGGGAGAGGGAGAGAGGGGAGGGCTAGAACAGAGGAGAGCAAAGGAGAGGGAAAAGGAGAATGGCTGACAGAAGGAGACAAGGAAAGCAGGAGTAGGAAGTAAAGGGTTGGAAGTGAAATGGTGAGGAAAGAGAATAGGAGCAGGGAGACGAGTCACGAGGCGAGGCGGGAAGGGGAGGAGGTGTGACAGAGTTCAGAGGGTGAATCTGATGTGAGGAGCTCTGTGTTGATTCTGACAGAGGCTGTAGACTCTGCGGTATTATCTCCCGGTGGTGACTCATCCCTGCCATCTAATATGTGTGTGTGTGTGTGTGTGTGTGCGTGTGTTTTTGTGTGTGTGTCTGTGGATGTGTACCCCATTTCCTCCTTTGTACTAATTCTGTTACATTAATGAAAAGTGATTAATTGATTTGGTGTGAAAATATGTAGACACCAGCAGTGACAGGTGTGTATTAAAACATGAACATGCACTGTGTGCGTGTATGCGTGTGTGTATTTGCATGTGTGTGTGTTTTCAGACCTACCAGAGATCAGCGTGAGCCACAGCAGTGTGTTGGTGATGGAGGGCGACAATGTGACGGTGAGCTGCAATGGATCTGGATCACCGCTGCCAGAGGTGGACTGGACTGTCAGTGGCCTGCACTCCATCAACACACACCTGGTCAGACACACACACACACACACACATTCATCAGAGTTATCATTATGCTTTTACAGCTTTACAGCTACAAAATTGAACTGAAAAAATGACAATATAGCAAACGCAGCACACAAACCACTTATGTAACATGGATTATTTTATTTTCATGGACATTGTGGTCACCATCAGCTCCCTTTGAGTTATCTGATGTCACTGGTGATGGAAAGACACACTTCAGCGGGTTCATATTGCTCTATTTTAGTTGCATGTCACGGTCACTTTGCTATCTTTTTGTTCATGTACAGATATTGTATGAACAGGGACTTTTCCATAAAGCTGATTGGTTAGTAGGAGTGCACGTTTTGATACCATTTTAGGGCCCTGCTTTTCAAAAATGTGTAAATAAATGGCTCCTATGAGTGATGTATTATTGTATATGACATTATTAGATTGTTAATACTGATGAAACAATGTGTAAGCAGTGTTTTATTCTTGTAGCTGGTAGTTTTAACTGCTGTATTAGATCATTTACTCCAGCGGTTCCTAACCTAGGAGTCGGGCCTTTCCAAATGGTCTCAAGACAAATTTGAGGGGTAATTAATGGGAGAGGAATGAAGAAAAAACAAAGTCATGCTGCACCGACTTTTCTCTAATCTATCTTTTATGAGAAAAATTTGATTTGAAGCTTAGAAGAAAACTATCTCTTTGTACTATATCTGAAGACATCTGAAAACTGACAAGATGCCAAAGTGGTTACAGTTTTTTATAAGGGGTCATAAACCAAATTTGTTCAGAACCACGTGTTTAATTTGGAACAATTTGTCGCATTCAGCCAATTCTGGGAACACAATTAGAGGACTGATTTCTTTCTGTTGGATAAAGTTATCTTGAATAACAGAGCGCTCTTATTATGACATAAAGGCAACATCAGTAGAGTCAAAAGCAGGATCGATACGTGAGTATGGATCGTACGTTTGCACTTACTTGAGTTACAGTAGGCAAGTTGGGAAACCTTCCATTGTGCACCAGAGGAATAGACTTCTGAGAACTCACTGGAACATTTTACTTTAAACCTATGACATGAATATACAGTCTGTACTTATAAATGCAAGTACAATACATACCTTTGAGCATGGCAATATTTCATCATAGCTGAGGATATGTCTTGTGTTCTCATCTAAAATCATAATTATATCATATCATACTGTCATTTATGGGACTTAACCCTAAAAACTCAAGACCACGATCCAGCAAATGGTCAATTAACATGGACTTTTGCAGGTTTGGCCATTAGGACTTGTTGCTATGACTGCAGCTTCAGATAAAATTTAAACCTGCTTTGAAGAACTGGAAAATCCAGGCTTTTGTCAAATCCTTAACAGTCAAGAACCTCACATATTCACATTCACATGAAGAACTGGGCCTTGGCTCTGATTAGCTGTGCACCCTAGCTTCCCTCTATGATCTACCCCGGTTCAAAATAAGGTAGTTTTGTGAGAGTGAGAGGCCTGGGTTGAACCCACATTGAGCAGACTATCCTGCTAATCTTGCTCCCTGAGACAGGCCCCAGGGACGTCACCGCAATAACAGCAGCAGAGATAAACAGCTAGAAGAAATTGCTGTGTGGCTGTATTTGTCATCTGTGTCTTTAACGGGTGCGGCGACCTTACAGATGAAAGTTACCTCAGCCTCAGGCTTGAGGTTTTAGGTTAGATGGATACTGTAGCTCATCAGCTTGAGGAAAGTGTTCGGGAACCTGGCCAACTGAAGACAAGAAGTGAAGCATAAGCACTGTATTTGGTTACCTAAAGGTGACACATTGTGAATCAGTTAATCCAATTAAAGCCAAAATTGACAATATATGTCATATATGTTGTTATATATGTCTTGCTGCAATTTTAGCCCTATACTAGTAAGATCAGATGAGATCATTGTAGTGATTAATTTCCACTGGTAGTGTACTCCTTCACTTTATTCTGTTTAAATTAATCAATCCCTAATTAACTTTAACTTTAATTTTAATTAAGTAATTAAAGATTTAAACCCCAGTAATGCAATTATATATGCTTTATATCCTTCACCAAACCTAAATTTCTCTCTTCTCTCCATCTGTGTCTCTTGTTCCCTTTCCCTATAGTCCAATGTGTACTGGCCAAACATCCACTCTATCAACCTGACTCTTTTCAACATCAGCCGAGATGACAACAACTTCCAGCTGACCTGCATTGCAGAGAATGTGGTGGGGATGACCAACTCCTCCATCCAGCTCAACGTACAATGTGAGTTGGATTTCTCTTATGGTTAAATCCACGGAAACTCTGGCCATGTCCTGCAGAGGGGACAGGAGTGAGGTGAGGGCAATAATTTCATAGTGAACACAGTAGCCCACAACCACTGACAAACATTTCAAACAGTTTACAAATAGGTTATCCTTATAGATTACCTGCTTCTTATTGCTTAAATTTGCATATTAATAAGAAATTATTAAAACTCTGTATTGCTATAAGATTCAGATATATTTATATTAATGCTGCCCGTGTGTTGTGGGAAGGTAATTTGCTTGTTCCAACTAATTTGTTTAATTAATCACCCAACTTGAATAGCTGTTTGTGTTTAATATCACCAAGGTTAATGGTGGGACATTAGGAAGTTCAAATGGCTTCTGTTTAAATTAAATTCAGTAGCTTGGCCAATGGTGTATACATACTGTAGAGTAATATCACCAAGACAACAATGGCATAAGATAAACAACAAATCATGTTTGACAACAAAGTGGAACACTGTGTAACTGGCATAGACTGGATAGATAAAGCGGACATAACCACCGTGATGTCACCCATTGGTTTGTGAACTACCGCCTAAAGCATTGAGTTTTGCGCAGTTTGTCTTTTTTTTTCACGCATTGCTTACAGGTCACTGCGGTAGCGACTTGTCAATTACAAGGTCGCCAACCATAGAGCATACCCTGCTGTATGATCTATTTTACTCTAAAAGGGACCATCATCATATTATAGAAGATAGAACTAGCAATCGAGACAAAAAAAATCATTCAAAAGGTTGGAGTTGCCCCCTGCTGGCCATTAGAAAGAATGCACGTTTGAGGCACTTCCACAGTGGTTTCTCTTCTCAGGCCTGGAGGTTCCCGCTTAATAACTAGAAGAGATCTAGCTCTTCACCCCTTGGTTTGACTAATGCTAGAAATTTGCCCCGGATTAAGAACTTACCCATTTATTTTTTGGGATTCCGCATTGTACAAGTTAGTACGGTCATTAACTTATTTTTAAGTAAAAAATACTGTGGCATTGTGAGGCGGATTTGAATGTAATTAGCTTCCCAAATGAACCAAAGCAAGTAAACCAAAGCATTGGACAAATGTAAATGTTGACCTGATGATGGCGCAAGGTTAAGGGATCATGAAAGTACAATGCAAGGGGAACATGATTATCTGTACCATATTTCTTAGTAATCCATTCAGTAGTTCTTCGCTAAATGCCAAATATGTTTACCTCATGGTGCCATTAGGGGAATGAGGCTGGACCAAAGTGGGGGACTGACAGACCCATATTGCCTTCCCAGGAGCGTGCCGCTATCATCACTAAAAATGCTACTCGGCCATGTTGTTTGATCAGGATTAAAAACTGGGTTAGTAAGGGTTAGCACAGGGTTAAATGTAGCGTGAACATCTGTAATAAGTAACAACCTCAATCAACCTTTCCATAACAGAAATATAATCAATTCAGTCCCCACAATATCCATACTGTCTCCATCAATAGTTGTGGATTATACAGTATTAGCTCTTTCTTCTTGGTTGCTCTGATTAGGACTCTACTAAATTATTTTGCTCTATTGTTGAAGGCGATGGTGGTTTGGTAAAATCTGGCATAGTTTGGGACAGTCTTCTGCCAGTCAATTATTTTGTAAGGAATACATTAATGTCTTTTAATGTTTATATTGAATTTATCTGAAAAATGTTTGTGTTTCACATGTTTTCTCTATAATATATAACTTCAGCAGTATCCACATATTATATACAAGACAGGACTATCTGTGCAGCTGTGCAGCTGTTTTAATAATAATAATAATTTAATAAACAACTCATGAATGGAAGACAGGGGACATACTGACTCTATTGCCCCAGTCTTGTTTAATCACCGAAGAGCATCTAAAATCACTAACAACTTTTTACATTATGCTAGATCCGGATTATGACAGGAATTGTATACAGAATTAGTTATTTATAGTCGATGTTCTCATTTACATTTGCAAAGTTCTGATTCTTATCAGTCGCAACATGAATGGCTGCCTCTGACTTTTGGTTAACATGGACAAAATCTGGCCAAAAGAAAAAAAAAATCCATTTATACATTATAGCTGGTACAATATGAATGCTTGGAGCCAAGAACACTTGGTGGTTTTCTCATGCACAAGATGCCTTTTTATGGCAGCTTTGATGGACTTCTGTTGGGACTGAAATATGTCCTGTATTAATGACATTGACAGTCTAAAAGAATTATTTACAACAGGAAAATATCTCCTTTATCAAGCAGAACAGGCAAATTATGCAGGTACATTTAGAATGCAATGAGGTGTTGCACAGTTACAAACCAAGTGAAATTGATGTAGCCAATTAGCAGGAATATACCCTCCAGCCCACATGAAAGCTCAGCCTTGATCTGAGCGGAAAGAGAAAAGGAAAAAAATATACAACCCTCAGCAATGACAAAGCAATGATTTGGTAACCACCAGAATATTCCTCTAATATCCAGACCATGCATTACAGTATATATCTCAGCTCTTACACACATTTACCCTGTGGATTGGCCATGGGCAGATTTGGGACAGAATGTATTCAAAGCCAATATTTATTAAAGGTGACCTGACATTTTTCTTTTTGTAGCAAGCTTGCCGTTGTAGAGCACAATCTATTGTGGCTGTTTGCGATGTATCACGCTACAGGACAGGGGAGATTTGTCACCAATTCAAACACTCCCTGCCGGAGCAGAGCTGCTAAGGACCATGCTAGAATGACAGATTGACTTTGCAACATCTAGCCTTCAGGGCTTCCTCCACACGGACACTCTATGGATGTACATCTCCAGGCATTTTTTTTTCTGTTGACTCTCTCTGCTGGTGCTGCAAATTAACTTATTAATTTTTCACCACATGCTCTGATGGTAATTACATTTCCTCCCCTGTGCAGCCTATTGTCTCTGGAAATGTCATAAAATAGCTTAAACTGCTGCTCTGATTAGGGAGTAATATGAGTGACAGTGAAATTACCAGCCATCAAGTAACATTCTCTGCATTCAAAGATGAGTTCCCTGTTTTAGCGAAACTGTAATTAACCACAATGCAAATTCTGCAGACCCATTGTCCTGCTTTTTTTCTGGAACAATAGCAGCTCTACAGCATTGTGGACTTACAACGTCCCATGTTTTTTCCTTTAGTCCTATAAGCCTGATGTAGCTCTCTATTAAGAACAAGGCACTAACGCATGGGTTAGTAGTTCTGTTCCCTGAGTAGCTCTACAGGAAGAGCAAGGCATTAACTCTAATTATAAGTAATTAAGGAGGAAAAAGTATATCCCAGTTGTATCCTTCTAGGGACTCTATATAATTTCCCTGTGCTGCTTCTTACAGGTTAAAAACAGAATGCACACAATGTGGTTCAACCCAGAGGGAATTTGTGGCAATATCTGTCCAATGAAACTGTTGCCTCCCCTGTCACTGCCAGCCATGATGTCCTATCTGTAGTCTGGCTGGAACATGGCATTTGAAATATGCCACCAGTGTTACCACTAGATAGCCTTGTATTCAGTGTTTTTAATGATCAAAGGCATGTAGTTATCAAAACTTGTCATCTGTATGAGCGCCACAAGGACATCATGTTGTTAAAGACCAGTATGGAGCGTCGTACTGATTTGTATTGTATTGACTGAGACTGGGCTGACAGCCATGCTGAGGGAAAATGGATCGGCCCCTAACTGTCCATCAACAAGAGAATTTAGTTTTTTCCACTCTTTTTCTCTCTTTCTCTGTCTTTAAACTGCACAGCTATACACCGCCCTCACTTCGTGCCTATCTCCCACCCTGCTCTCTTCTTCTCTCTCATCTCTGTCTTTTCTCTTTCTTCCTGCACTCAAACAGCTCACAGCTCTGCACACGCCCCCACACCAACACACTCACACATACACATGCCTTAGCCTTTAGTTCAAATGAATGACTTTATTCTCACTATTGTCTAGCAGGAACCAAAGCAATTTCTGAAATGACAGCTTTTGCACACTAATAAATAGATAAGTCAATTTTATTTATTTAGCCAATATCACAAATCACAATTTGCCTTAATGGGCTTTAAAATCTGTACAGCATACAGCACCCTCTGTCCTTATATTTGGTGTGAAAACACATAACTGAAAGCTACTTTTATAATCAATTTTTTCTGACAATCATTTATGAATTAAAGGTTAAGTGCATAAGATTTAGTGGCATCTAGCAGTGAGGTTGAGAATTGCAACCATCTGTCAAGTCTACAAAAGCGTGAGAAAATTTTTTGCAGCAATGCTTCATTTCAAGTTGAATTGAGATCTTTTACTTTGAAAATTCTTCTGAATGACATTAAAAAGAGCATGGAGAATGCTGAAATAGCCATCAGAAAACGAGATCACCCTAAATGTCCTCTGCCTGGAGATACTGGGAAAATGAAAATAAGTGTCCGTAGGTTGATGGATGCGGATCAAACACCGGAACACACACACTGCAGCACATGCCGTAATGTGAGCATGAGAAGCATCGCTTCATAATTAAATTGTTGAAGAGGGGGGAAAAAAAGTCTTCAGACATGGGATCAAACCCACAACCTTGTAGGCTGAGTTTTGCGCTTTACCAACTGAGCTAACCGAACGCTGTAACATTCAGCTTAAAAATTATGTGTTATGTTCTCACCCCAATCTAATGGATAAACAAATATTGCTCAGATGCAAACGTATTTGCAGACCCATGCTGTATATTATTACTTCTTCTTCTTCGAACGTACGTATTCAACATATTGACGAGTGTCTACACTGCCGGAATTGTGCAAGAAGAGGACGAAGAATGTAGTGACAGAACACGCTCTGTAGAGCAGTTTCTCCGTTCTGGGCTACTGTAGAAACATGGCAGTTATGTAGGTCGAAATGGCTCATTCTAAGGTAATAAAAACATTTCATTATGCAAGGTATTTATACACCACTGAAACCATAGTTATGTATAGTATATTGCATTTGTGTAAATAGATCCTCAGAAATATTTTTACACTGAACCTGTCATGTTGGGACAGGGTCACACTTGGTTGTTCATATGAAAAATGAGTTTTGTAAAGAGTGAAAAAAGCTTGAGAGAACTTTAGTTTACAACCGTAGTTTTAATAAATTTTAAATTTGAATGTGACTTCACGCTGCAAGAATATAGTACAAGCTAAGATAGACACTGCTTTATACCCTCATCATGACCCTGTTTTTTAGACACCTTTGTAGCCATTTTGGCGGCATGTTAGGTTGGTCAGTCTGACCAACATTTTGGTCCAGACTCCAACTTAAATGGACTGCTAAACACAATGAGGTCATAAGCACATTACCATGCTGGTGGTGTTAGCACTTTGCTCAAAACACCTCTAAAGTTGGCAGTAATAAAAATGGCTTAAATTGACACATAGAAGACCTAGTGTTACATACAAAATGCACAGAGGGTAATAGGTATGGGGAAGTCATTAGGGGCCAAACAACAAACCTATTCCAAACGGGTTAGTCCTGAGACCCAAATTTTGTGCCTGTAATAATCAAATATTTGGTATTTTTATTAATAATTCACTTTCCTTATCCCAGTCCAAGTTCTTGATTAAAAGTTTAATCAGAAAACATGCCCTATTTAGCAGCACATTGCATGAAACTGCAGGTGGGTATTCATTGGGGCAGCTGCAGTGTTGTCTGAATGAACACATAAACACACACATGCAACCGTGATCTAGCTATATGAATAGGATTGCTCACACATGCCTATAGAAATTGCAGACTTCATTTAGGACCAGCAAGAGACAAAGCAATGGTGTATTATTAGTGTGTATGTGAGTGGTAGAGGTGGGTGGGTAGGTTCGGTGGTGGGGGTGGTGGTATGTAGAACAGACTCAGAGAGAGAGATTGCCAGGTAGTACTGTCTGCCAAATATTTCCTTTTGATGATGTAGCTGCAAGTGTGACTCATTGCAAAGACAAATAAGTGGATGAATTGTTTATGAAATGTATCTGATGGTATTAAAGTGATAAATTGCCTCTCAGCCTGGTGGCGTTGTGGATTAAGAGGTGTGTTGCTGCATGTTAAGAAAGAAAGGCTATATGCTTGTATATGCAGAGGAGATTCCTCTGTCTATTTCAAGCAAGAGGAGTCCCTCTATCTATTTGTATTGTTCACTGTCCCATGTACAGCTGCAATATGTAAAATGCGGTAAAAGCACATTGCCATGACCAGGCAAGAAATCTGCCTCCTAAATGTCATGTTTCCCAGAACAAATCAAAACAGCTTTGTGTTTAGTCTGCTGCTGCAGAGTTATGTTTTAGGCTATTCAAAGAATTAGGACAGGTTTTCATCAGCCCGAGGGTTGTGGAACTTTCTCAACACATAAAGGTCCTTGTAATACTTCAACTTATGTTATTACATTAAAACTAGGCAAATTGATGAGGGTTTAAAGGTGATCCAGGAGCTGCTCATTCTGCTCTTTCCCTCATGCTATGGATGGAGTATCAGTATGCCAAAAATGTTTATTTGTCATGTAAACTACATGGTCTCTTTCCTTCTTCACAGTCCCTCCAGTTATCCTGAGACTGGCTGAGCCCGAGCAGCGCCACGATACCTGCATCGAGTTCACAGTTCGAGGCTACCCCCATCCCAAGCTGCGTTGGTTCCACAAGCAAAGGGAGATTCTCCAGAATGAGTACATCCGAACTGAGATGGACTTCTACCAGGACTATCTGGAGGGCTGCCTGACCTTTCAGAACCCAACGCATATCAACAATGGCAACTACACTTTGGAGGCAAGCAACCCTCTGGGAACGGTCACCAAGACAGTGTATGGTCACTTCCTCATGGCCCCGGGCATCGATGATGAAGGTGAGTGGATAATTGCTGCTTGGTTGGTTGGTTACTGGTTGCTGTGCTTGTGGTTGATGAGTGAAGCTCTGTTAGCTGCTGGCAGCACTGATGTTCCCATAATCATAGTCAAGAGTATACTCATGGGTAAAATGGCAGTTGTACAAAGGTTATTAAGACATTTTTACTGCCTGAACATTGCCTTCATTCTTTTGGATTTAAATAAGCATAAAAGCACAGGAGAAAAGAAGAAATGATGCCAAATAACTCCCCGATTCCCACAAGAGCTAGCATGGCCCACTTTTTGGGAATGAACATCACAATTGGAACAAGTCTTCAACTAGTTGAATTTCTTGTTTCAACTACCTGTTGAATTACAGGTTCTGTCCTAAGCAGAGAAACTACTGGGAGCTTTTATTTTTTATTAAGATCTCCCTTCACAGGGTGCAGGTTGTGGAGCTGATCCCTGCCTGCTGGATCGCAGCCAGGGTGCATCCACAGTTCATTCAGGTAGATTGTTCGCTTACAGTTCATTCTGAGTTCACAGGGAGGGGGAGTAAACCCACAAAGACTGGCAAATTTCTCCCCATAGTCAATATTCCAAGGTTAATACCTTGTGTCAATTTATTGACTTAGAGTGACTTTCTCTGTCTTCTCTTTTGCAGACATAGTGGAACTAGGTGAGTTTTTCTATTTTAAAATTTAACACTGCTATTTTTTTGTTTTAGTTTGTTTTTTACTCCTTGGTTGTTTGGTGTCATTATGCACACACACACACACACACACACACACACGGTCTTGGATACCGGGATAGTAACCACGGAGAAATTTGATCACTTTGTGTTGCAGTTTATAAACTATCAGGTTGTTTTAATGGGATTAATGAGTCTTTAAACTTAATGACATTTCATTCCGTATACACCCTGGTGTCATGTTACTGTCCAAGAAATGTTGTGGAGTCTAAAGCAGGGCAGCAGTCACTCAACTGACTCATGCTTTCCAAAATTCACCAGACACTGGAGAGATTTGATGCTTCAGTGATGCCCTGCCTTACCTACATACGTTTCCATACACTCTCACAGTGAGGTGTCCTGTACAAACACAGTCTGCTTCTGCTGGTTTGTAAGCAGCTCTACCTGAGCAGCTGGTAGCCTCCCTTACTGTTGCTACACCGCTTGAAAAGAAACCTATTTTGAGAACTTTTGAAGCAATGAGTCCAGACAGATAGCAGGCACAGAGATTATATCAGCTGTAGCTAATGAGATGATAATATTAGCTATTCAAGCAAACCGTATCTCCTTCAGTTGGTTAAAAATGCTGCCTCCAGATAACTTTTTAATGTTTCAAACTGGTCTTAAATATGTTTTTCATAGCTGCATACATGATAGTGTGCTATTATGCAAGTATGATAGCATGATACTAAGTATGTACTTAACTCTGTACGGTTTGATTTATGATTGATTTAATTTCAAAGAGTAGGTTTGACTTTTGGCCGGGGTTGCTGGAGTGTAAACTTTCCCAGATCTAATAACGTTACCCTAATCTCTGGTAGTAGCACCCAGGTATAGCTCCCACACAGTGGAGAAATACTACACAGTGGATGTGCGAGTCATGAAGAGACGTTTTTTTTTAACATAACCTTGGCTCTAACCTCACAAAATAATGTATTATGAAATGCTCCGTGGCCTTGGAATTAATGTTGTAATGCTACTACTCTAGGTAATAAGCTCTTTAGCTGGACATGCTAACAATTCAGCTTAAGTTGGAGGAGATGAACACTGTTAAATATATTCCTTACTTTTATTTATAGAGTATCAATGTCACTCCATAGCCGCATGCACACCACTTCAGGGAGGGTCAAGTTTTAGTTATTCTGTCTTTGTTTGGCACTATTGCTTTTAAAGCAGAAAGGAAAAAGAAAGGAGAGAGAGGGGGTATGACATGCAACAAAAGCCCCCAGCTGGCACTGAACCGGCAATGAACACCCAGGACACCCTTCTCTTAAATGGAAATTGTATCAGCCACACAGAATGCTTAACGCTACCTTTCTAACCCCTAACTAACCAGCCACAGTGTAAACAAGCTAGTTTCCCACCCTATTAGCTGGTGATGTGTGAATGTTTGTGAAGCGGTAAGTGCAGTCATATTGCTGGAACAATGCCTTGGCCCGCTCTCACACTGCTTCGTAAATCTCCTGTGTGTGATGTGTGGTTTGGCCTCAGGCTGTTGTGACAGCCTAACTGTTGACGGCTTAAACAAAGTGGACTGGTCTGATCTCTGACCTTCATCAGAGTCTTCTTCCATCTCCATGTGAGGCCGTTCTTTCTAATCAGCCATGGATTATAACGCTGCAGCATGGCCAGGGATGGAGACGGATGGACGCAGACTGTGTGGCAAGCTGCATTAGGCAGGCAACGACTTCGTGTCACCACACATACACGCACACTCACACAGCTTCTGGGAGTGAGGCAGGTGAGGGAAAGGTGTTCGGGTGATGAGAGTGTGAAACATTATAGCAGCGGTGTGTGAGGGAGTTCAGGCGTAGAGGGGAGACTGACAGGCTGACTGATACTAATGCTGCCGAGGAGAGAGGAGGGCAGAGGGAGAAGAGAAGAGAGGGATGAAGGCTGGGAAGGAGGGATGGTAGGGGCACACACACACATACTCGCACACAGAGCAATGCACTTTAGTGTACTGTGTGTGTCTGAGCCAGTGGCAGCAAGTCTACCATGTGGCCATTAATTTGCCCACAATTACTCTCTGATGTCCTGGCTGGAGGCCTCAGACTGGAGTTTCCCTGACACCAGCTCATTTCGTTTTATGGCTCCATCTCTGTCCTCTTCTTCTTACACTCCCCAGACCTCTGCTGTTTGCCAAAACTCTTGTTTGTAGATGTGTGACAGATAGCATTTTAACATCAAGAAAGGGATTTCAGGATCATAAAAGACATTAATAGCACCACTGTATAGTTCTGTTACCTGGCCTGAGTCCGGCAGGCTCCAGTTCTTAAATTCAGGTCAAGAGATAAAGATAAAGATGTCAAGTTTGAGTTGGTTGTTGCATTTTTCAGCTAATTTAATTTGACCTAATTTAACATTTGGTGCTCTCGGCTGTATGAGCCTCTTTTCTGTTTTTTTACTTGTATGAGTGTGTGTATTTCTAAAGCAGCTTGTTTTAATTAGTCGTGGTGTCTTTTTGTATGTACAAGCACTAGTATACATACTTTTTCATTACTTTCATCTGAGGATTGGGCCTGGCTAAAGGCAAAGGCTTTGTTATCGACCTTGTGACAGGTAACGGACTTCAGTATGCATTCAAGGCTGTGCAGACTTCGTAGTGAAAGCCTTTCATCAGCCTCTAGACATAAAAATGCACTGTCTCACGTTGTCTCAAGCCGTTATGGCACAAAACAGGGGCATCACAAGGTTCTTCCTGTTTACGTCAATCCACTTACTAGAAGGATGGCAATTTCATGTCAGGAGATTTAAAATGTATTAAATGGAAGAGCATGGAGCACTCCTAGACACACAAATGAGGAAAGCACAAAAGAATATTTTTCCACTAGTAATTAGATCTATTACGAAACATTCATAAAACCATTTGGCTTTGTGTATATGTTTACTGAAACTTAGGGTGGGAGTAAAACACAGTCATTTAAGCTTTATTTTCATTCGCAGCCACTGATGTCTGTTTTGTGTTTTTGTGTTTCAGTTCCTTCGACGCCATCAGATGGTGATTCAAGCCGACCAGAAGAAGATACATTTGGGGTGAGTTTTCTCCTTAATGATGTTGATGAAACAGCTGCTAAAGATGAACATAGAGCTGCTGTGTCTTTCAACACAAATATATAACTGCTTCTTATTTGTCAAAGGACCCTTGCAGGGGTTTGTACTGTGTGTTGACACGCAGCACTGAGGCACAAAGATTGCAATACACCAAACAATGTTGCAGTCACTTTTCAGTGTGGTATGTTTGGACACTAATGATGTTGACAATGCGAACACTATCGTTTGTATCGTACTGTTTTCAAATGTTACGTAATATGGGGATTATGTAGAGGGTTTCTTGATGGCAGACATTTTACATTTCATAGCAAGAAAAGCATATGCAGGTTACAATTATAACGTTGAGAGCAGGACTCTCAAGTTTTATCAAAAGTTTGGAATCAGATAACGCGTGTTAGAGGAGGAGCCACTCGAATATTTGCAGCAGCGGCCCCTCGGCCCCAGCCAATTCACTCAAGTTTATACTAGCAGTTAGATTTTACCAATAGTTGATAACTGACCCAAGCAAATAGAAAGTACAACATTAGGTAGATCTGATAAAAGACTATATATATATATATACTTTTATTTCAAAAATAAAAATGTATCAAAAGTAATAAGAAATTTGGCCCAAACGAGCCCACTGAACAGCAGTGCTGTGCACATAGGCCTATAGTAGGATGGCAGAACTTGACCTACTTATGTATGCCAAGCTGTATGTGTGAGTAGGCTACACATTTCAGCTTATGAATGGTGTTTTGGATTGTAATTTTTTGTTGCTCATTTTAATGCCTTGACGACAGGGGTAGGGGGCTCCCACTTAAAGCCATGTGCCTCAAGGCCATCCATTTTCACCATAATGATGGATAATAGCTTTCTGTCCAGAGCTAAAATATAGAAAAATATCTCTAGTACCTTTCCTTAGTTTCAGGTAAGCCCAGTTGTGGACAGTAACAGTAGTACTGTAGCTACTTAAGTACACAAGGTATTTGTACTGAACTTGTGTATTTTCTTTTCACGCCACTTTCTACTACTTCACCACATCTCAAAGAGAAATATTGTACTTTTTACCTTATCTAACAGCTTCAGTTATTTAAAAAAGTAAGGTTTTTACACACGAAATGGACGAAGAGTTTAAAAAATAGGATGTTTTGATATAAATTAAATTAAATAATAGTTTATACAAGTCCAGCTAGTAGACTACACCAGTTAGGCTAATTAACAGAAATGTAATTGTTTGGTATTAGTCATTTTTCATGTACAAGATCTGCTTTTACTTGATGTTTGATGTTTGGACTGACAAAACAAGCATTGTGAAGGTCTCACTTAGGGAACTGTGACAACATTTCTCACTATTTTCAGAATTTATTAGAATCGATTAATGGAGAAAATAATCAGCTGTTTAAAATAAAAATAATCATTAATTGCAGTCTGATAGTTCAACTCAACCAACTACATTAATGCGTGAGGAATAATAGGAATAATAATCTTAATATATACTATATAATAGTAACACAGTCATATGAGACATTTTTCTTTCTGCTTTGAGTATAGGCTACTTTTATTTTTAATTGGCTACTTTTCCAGCTTATAGCCTACTTACATCCGTCCATCGTCAACCGCTTCGTCAGGATCGCGGGGGGGCTGGAGCCAGTCCCAGCTGACATTGGGCGAAAGGCGGGGTACACCCCGGACAAGTCGCCAATCCATCCCAGGGCCACACACAACCAGTCACACTCACACTCACACCTAAGGACAATTTAGAGCCGGAGCACCCGGAGAGAACCACAGTCACAGGGAGAACATGCAAACTCCGCAGAGAAAGGCGGTGGCAACTGGGGTTTGAACCCACAACCTTCTTGCGGGTGACAGCGCTAAAAATCTCTATAGTGTTGTTAAACTGATGGACAATTGTGCTTCAAGGTAGAGCTTTAGTGAACTGCCAGTAGAACATTTTTTTTGGCGATTTAAATGTTTTTTGTTTTTATTGTTTTATTATTTATTTCCTTTTTGATTTGATAAGAAAACAATTTATCGGATTATTAAACATTGTATTAAAGATGAAAACATTCAATCCTGTAGGTGATGATAAGCACCTACAGGATCTACAACACCTCATTTTCTTTCCCAAACTGCACTAGGTAAGTCTAGCTGAAGATGAGGATCATATTTAAATTACATTCTGTCAACAGGAATACATCACAGTCAAGACAAGTGTTTAACTTTTTTCCAGACTTCTTTAATCTTTGAGAAAGCAGTAGTCACAATCTAGAGGATTATTTAAGGTGAGCAGAAATGTGGAAAGGATTATGATGTGAACACAGTCCTCTGATCGCTGCCTGAGTCTGATGCGACATCTCCTTTTTCTCAGGTTTCCATCGCTGTGGGTTTGGCCGGCTTTGCTTGCGTCCTCCTCCTTGTCCTTTTTGTTCTCATCAACAAATACGGCCGGCGCTCCAAATTCGGTATGAAAGGTAAGTCTACACAAATAGTCAGACAAGCAGATAGGCAGGAAGACAGTTAGCTTTGTTTGTTGCCTTTCTGCCAGTTGCATCATTGTGCAGACTCCATTCCTTCAGCTAATCTTCCCTTCAAAACCTTTGTTCACCAGAAAATGTACATATGCAGCATCTGTAGAAGTTCTACTTTTTACTGCATGTTTTCAGAACCTCCACTTGCACTGATGTTTTAATTAATGGCAGATGAGTCCTAAATGTCATACACATGCACAAACATATAACTAGATTAATGCTAGAGGACAGCGTGCATGCTAACGAGCTCTATGCACTGTACATAGACCTACACCTCATACATTCACTGTGTGCAGTGCAGAGCGATGGCAGAAGGGATCCTGAATTAATTAGTGGACTACGCGCTGTCGATCATGCTGAAGAATTCAATAGGATTAATGTGGCTTTTGTGCATGCTGAGCGTTCATTTTGTATCAGCTCCAGGTTTTGCTTGTCTCTGGCGTTGGCGTTGTGGAAGAGGCCCTTCATAGAGCTTATCTAGGAACAGAGAGCATTGTAGAGAGTATAGGACGGTAGTGGCTCAGGTCCTGTGGTTCAGGTTCAAGTGTTTGCCCACCATCTACAGCTACGGCTTTTATCAGTTGGCAGGCTGAGTAGTGTCATCTGCTCTTGTTTGGTGGTTTTTGGTGGGTGAGCTTGTGTATGACTGATAAAATACGCACCACTGTGTCCCATGACAAGGTGCGTGCATTAAAGCTTATGATCCCTCCCACGTTTGTCACTTTTTTTCTCTTTGTTACATGCCGCCATGACCCAACACCTCAAAGCATGTATGTTCTTCATTTCATACCATAAGCATGGTGAAAAATAGCATTAGCCGCTGCCACCCTTTAATTAGCTACTTTAAAGGATTAGAGTTCGTTACTTACCTCGGTAAAGAACTCTCCGCTGTAATTATTTAGAGGGTGGCAATTATTGCATTGGCCTAAAGCTCTAATCAAGGATGAGTCTGTGAGGCTAATGAGGCATTACAGACGTGTTTGTAATGTTATGGCAAGTCATATGAATTTAAACTGTGCTCACAAACTGGTTTGACACAAAGAAACGAAAGTCACAAATCCACATAAGAAGGAAAAGATAATTAAAGCAAGACTTCACATACAGTACATTATAAACTCCATGATACAAAGGCAGTTTGTCCCTTATTGTTTTATATGTAGGATAAGATTTAATTGGTGCCACAGCTGCTTGCTAATCATGCATACTGGGCTAGAAACGTTCTTATTCCTTTTTAACTAAAGCACCTTTATACAGTAGATAATCAATGCATTTTACACATAATGTAGTCGTTTAATATTTATAATGTCCAGCTACAACCTTGTAAAAACCATGTAAAACGCGGTCTACCAGGAATCTGTGTTACAGCACTGACCTATTTTTACACTTGCTATCAAATAAAAGGAGTCACAGCTTCAAAATGCCGGCAACCGTGAGAGCTTAACATGTTTTAATGCTCAGAGCACCCAGCATTACTGTAGGAGTTATTTCAACTCTTAGCATAAGGGTGCTTCAAATGCAGTTTCAGTACTCTCCAAGCAAGAACGGTGAAGAGAGTCATTTATCGCCTTGATGGCAAGGTCTAACGTCCTCTCGGACACTGTAGGGTGTTTTTTTTATAAATTGCTGTGCAGGGCCACGCGATTCTCCAGGAACACTCACTGCTTCATACAATATGTTACTTTGCTAAGGGGCACCTCATCATTTTGTGTTTTTTCTACATTTTCCTTGGCTCACATTTTTTCCCAGGGTAATTTGAGTTTAGCTGCCTTGTTCAAGATAACAAATCGTTTTTTTTTTATTACACCTGCAGGAGAAAAATAGCATATTTTTGAGCAAATCATCAGGTTGAGCCTTTACCACTGCTGATAATTCTGCTGATAATACATTTTTCCCCCCCAGCTTTTATATTAAGGTCAGCGTTATGTGGACCATGTACCTGACCGTAGTGTAGTGGACCGTATTGTTGCCATAATGCTTAGCGTTATGTAATTAATGATTACCAAGTAAGAGGCGCCAACATTAGTGCTGTCATGGTTCTAACAGGTAGTGGTTTGTATCACCAGACAGTGGGTACTGTACACAAGCCAGATCAGTTTAAATAGAGATGCAGCTGACTCCATGGTCACTGTGGTGATTGAAGGTATGAAAGACTCTAAAGAGAGGTGATGTCAGTCTGGACTCTTTCTGGACCTCACACTGTTCTGTACAAAGGCCTGATTTGTCCATTGTGTGTGTGTGTGTGTGTGTGTGTGTGTGTATCCCCTCCCACTCTTGTTCTGGAGAATGAGCTGCAAGGCCTGAAGAAGTCATTACCTTTGGATGGAGCCATAATGGATTTTCGCTCCACTAAATCACTATGGCTCTTTTGGCTGTTGGAGATGATCACCGACCGTTTCTGGGCATCCAATAAAAACTCTGTTTTTCTTTTTTCCCCCCTCTTTTATGTGGCTAGAGTATATGCGTGTGTGTGCGTGCGTGCGTGAGCTACATTTAATTGATTTGCTAGCATTTCAAGGCCCACCGCCAGGTCCGTCCACTGGCTGCCTTGCATTTACAGCTCTGACTGATATACTCTAGCTCTGTTTAAGTGGTTGTAATTGCGGTTTTATGAAAGATACTTTGCCTGTCTGCATGTGTTTGCATATGTGTGTCTCATGTTTTTATATCCCGATGGGGACCTTAACCTGAGTGCACACTAAATGATGGGTCACCGTGGGGACAAAAATCGAGGTCTCCATGGGTAGAGACTTCTTTGTGAGGGTTAGGATGTGGTTTTAGGGTTCAGGTTACAATTGTGTTAAGGTTAAGGTTAGGGGGTAGGGTTAAGGTTAGGCATGTAGTTGTGATGGTCAAGGTTAGGGTGAGGGGTTAAGGAATGCACTATGTCAAAGATGACCCCACTGGGAGAGTGGAACAAAGGTGTGTTTCGTGTTCTTCTTTCATGTGTGTGCGTGCGTCCCTGTGTGTGTGCGCATGAAAATGGACTCATACTGAAGATAACCTCTTGCACTGATCAACATATTGTCAACGTACCTCCCAGCTAAAACATCTTGCAATCTAAGCAGCAGGCTCATCTTTCACATTGTGATTCATACCAGTGGGTTTTGAAGTGTCTTTCATACAGATTTTTGTCAGCAAGGAATCAATAATGCTTCTTTAGAAAAAGACACTCAGCATGTCAGTAATAAGTATTATGTTCCCCTGTCATCTTTTTTATATGTTCTGGTAGAAAAGTACCCCACTCCTGCTGCTGTAAGTGCAGCCAATATACAACAAAATGTATATCATTTTGTCACCTTCCTTATCTTCCAGGCCAGACGTTTCCACACATTTTGTGTTAAGACCTATTGGGTTCGCCATTTTATTTATTGGGTTTAGTAGACCTGACTTTAGGAACTGTAACTGACTGCAAAAACAGAAAGTCTTACAAACTTAACCAGGTCTAAAATAATATTAAGCCGTTCGGGTAAACAACATTTTAAAATTATTAATACAAGAGCGAAAAAGATAGAAACTGAAACGTGTTCTTGGTTGTGTTCTGATTCTCTTCTGAACATTCTCTGTCAAATGTTTTGTCTTCATAATAATACAGTAACTTACCCAGATCTGAATTTTGGAAATAGAACCATTTTGAACTAAGGGTCCCAGTGGGGCTTGGGAATCAATGCCACATTGAGATGCATTCTGGGTATTTCTGGGGCTCATCCACAATAGTTGTTGGCAGCTGCTGTGTGTTTATATAAGGAGCAGATGATACAGGCGCTATTTTTGGCTACATTTCACTGCAGAGTTTAGACTGAAAATATACTGTGAACAAACGGAGGCAGACGTAACATGTCAGGAAGAAGTGACAAATGATGAACGAAACTGTTCTGAGGGACAGTAATTTCATTTTCCTAATCAAACAAAAAAAAATGAATTCAAGTTTCTGTATTTCACTTAACTAATTGCTTTGTTAAGTCATCGTGTAAAACACACTTAATTCAAACTTGACAAACAAAACAAAATTTATCTTACCAAAACCATCTTGGTTAATCTTTCAACTATTCCAACAATAACTAACTATGGTTTGGTCAATATAAACCATTAAATGTTTTATATAGATATATATGTTATATCTGGACATTAAAACATCTGAAAATGGCTGAAGGTTGTTGGTTAAGACAGGTGGAGAGTGAGCTGTGAGGGGGGATGCTTTTTTTTAAATTTGTGGAGGTGGTGCATTTAAGCTAAAATGTGCTATACTCACAAATAGCGTGAACCCAATTGATTAATTGGGGTTTAGAACAAGTACTTGATTAATCAATTAGTTATCAATATTTGCTGTTTTCTAAAAATTGTATAATAGTAATCTGGATATCAATAAGTTTTGGACTGGATTTGGACAAAACAAGCACTTTGGAAAACGTCTCCTTGCACTCTTGTGTTGGGCATTTTTCAGTATTTAAGGACACTTTCTAAACGATTAATCAATCAGCATTGAAACTCAACGGACTAATCAGTGAAGAATATAATCGTTAATTGCGGCCCTACAATTAATCGCGTGCTGTATCTTCACTTGTTTTTTGGCTGATCCCCTTTCAACCTGTTTCCATGCAGGCCAGTGTTCCTGTTGGAGGAATTATGCAGTTTTTCCATTACCAGTACCAGCTCAACTCGCCTCGCCTCAGTTTTGGCCTGCCGTCGAGTACTATGTAGCTGCAGTAGCTGTAGCCACAATCCTAGGACCGGAACTGCATTTTTAGAACCCTTCTTTACTTTGATACTGCCAGCTAGCTGGCTGGCTAGCTAGCTAGCTATGTTACTCTTGACCAACCCTAACCATTATCGTAACAGATTATATGCATGTCGACCGGTTAACCCTACAGCTGCGCACATTGGCACTAATGGCCGACGTGCTAGCAGACAGGGTTAATCTCCTATGGGTTGCTGTGCATTACCAC